GGGGGGGGGGGGGGGGGGGGGGGGGGTAGGCAAATGCTCCATGCTTTGCTCCGAATCTCCGTCGAGGCTCGCAGGTATGGCTCCTTGCCGGACGTCTCCTTGCTCACTCTGCGTAACCTGCATGTACCGTCTGAACGGAGCACAAGAGTCTGGACAACGACGTCACTGGGCCTCGAAGTGGTGGGCCTGTCATCCTCTGTCAGGGCCGACAAGCTGCGCCTCGTGACCAGGGGACCTGGACGTATTGGCAGTCAACAACAAACTTATTCAAGAATAGCATTGCCTTTGACGCAAGACATTCTCGCGGATACTGGCTGCACAGCCGTGTTTGACCGTTTCATAATACAGTGCACCATGGACATGTTATGTACAGGTGCAAGCAGCATTCAACACCGACCATGCCACTGTATTGCATCCTTATGTCCAACATTCTTTGTTGGAGGAGTCGGTGGATGGTGAAACTGGGCGATGACATGCACTCTGCCTCCGAATTCCCTATCTACGACGACGCAACAGGACGTCGGTAACCCTGTCCTCCAGGTTAGATAGCACTGAAGCCCATGCTGCACATCTGTCGACCCCATACTCACATTCGCGCAGACCCTTGGTCATCTGCTTTTGCTCCACCGTGAGGTGTTGCAATTCCTCCCACAAGCCACCCGGGGGACCCGGCGACTCTGACCTGTCCTTGCGCAAGTTCCTGGTAGCCACGGCACTTCTGCTCCGCTTGAGATTTTTGAAGGTCCCTGGCCCTGCACCTGGCGTCCCTGGGGCCGACGAAGGCCTTGCAGCGACGTTGGCCGTTGTCACATTACGGCAAGCCTCGAGAACCTGCAGATCCCTCTTGCACTGGCGAGAAAGGCACCGCAAATTCTTCTGAGTTGTGGAGAGCTCATGGAGCAGGACGTTGGAGCGTTGCACTTGGGTGGCCTCAGTCTGACTGCGTGCCTTTGACCTGTTTTCCGGCTTGTTAAGGGTCCATTCCGCGCAGGACATAGCAAATTCCACGTCTTTCAACTGCGTGTCAAACCTTCTCCGCAGCTCGCGTTGGTCGCTACTGCACTGCGCCAGGCAGTCCTGAGTGGACCGCTGCGCTTTGGCACACTCCAAGTCAGTGTACTGGATGGTTGAGGAAGCCTTCTTGCACAGATGCTGCGCATCCACCTGCGCAGCCTTGACACGCTTCGCCCAAAACTTCCAGCTGTCCCCGACGGACATGTAGCCAGAGGCCGAAGTCTCGCCGGAGCCCCGCTTTGCAGCGGAGTCTTGCCTCAAAGCTGCACGGCGCTGGGCCATTTCCTTCTTCAGGCAACCGTGGAGCTCCAGCAGTTGCTCTGCGGCTTGGCTAAGATCCTCCTCCTGCAGGTCTAGCTCCCGGCGCATGAGAAGCAGAGCCTCCTGCTCCACCTCCAGTGCCTCCATCAAGTTCTTCTGAGAAGTCTCCGGTGCTGGCGTCTCTGAGCTCCTTGCACTCGTCGCGCCTTCCTTGTCGGCGGAGGCCGCGGCTCCGACCCAATCAAGGTCTTGGAGCAGCTCTAACCGCCGTCGGCACACGGAGATGTCTGCTGAGCGAATGTTTCGAGCATGCCGGACTCGACTCTTCGCGTCTTCAACGTCAACATGCTGGGCCTCTAGCACCTTGCATGCCCCTGAGATCTTTGCCACCGACGAGACATTCGCCTGAATGCGACTATTTGCTGCCTGACATTCTTCGCGCAGCTTCTGGACATAGGAGGCATCAACCCGGGCTTCTGCCGGTTTCGACAAATCTTCCATCGCCATCTGCGAGAGGGCACGCGCTCGTGCGAGGGTGACGCCCCCGGCTGGCAGGCTGCCGGACTTGCACTTTTGCCCTGCAGCTCTTGCTAGTGCCACTGGGGGTGCAGGCTCGGCGATGTCTGGCTTTGAGGCTTCGAGGTCAGCTTGATCCACAACATCCTCGTCCGTGGATCCGACGGCTGTGCTGGAGGTCGCTGCAGATGGAGACAGGGGCCACCAAAAGAGATCGGCTTCACGTAGCCTGTCAGGGACGGAGCTTGGTGTCTCCACGCCACCTTTGCCTGGATCCATTCCGCCGGTTCCCCTCCCTAAGGGGTCAAAGCTTGGACTTGGGCCTACAGCTTTCGGGGTGGCTGAGGTAACATCCACTGGAGGCAGAAGCTGCTCTGGTCGAAGCCCCGACGCTGCCTGAGCCCGAACCGAAGATCATGCTCCCACTGCTGTCCTGTGCCCAAAAACAGGCCAACAGACTCTTGCAGCCCCACTTTGTCGCAAGGTGATTGCAGCTCCTTCATGTCCAGCGTCGGCAGGGGTCGGAGCCCTGCAAGCAGAGGGGCCAGCGCAGCCACCTCTGCCACCTGCTCCTCCAAGGTTTGGAGCCTGCAGAACATTCCATCGTACATGCTCTGCAGGGAGGATGCGGCCTTGCTTTGTAGCGGGAGCCTGTTGCCTAAAGCCATCGCCACGCCGTCGGACACACGGTCCACCGCCTGCTGAGGCCCGGCGACGCGCAAGCAAATGCAACAGAGAAGGAAGCTAGCAGCTAGCTCTCTTGCAGTAGCACCTCCAAAGGGATCATCGCCCTCGGTTCCGACTTCGGTCGAAGAGCCTGGTCCGCTCTCACACCCGTTTGTGCCTCCCCTCAGACCTTCTCTGCCAAAGCCTCCATCTGGCTCTTCAGAGCCGGCATGAGCGACTTCGCCACCTGCTCTGCGACCTTTTCTGCCAGCTCTGTGGTGTCCTCGCAAGCGCAAGATGTAAAAACAGCGAAGACCATCAAAAAAAACTCTCCTGGACCGTCTGCTCCGTCTCCGGGCTTGACCTGTCGGACTGCTTTCCACGTTCACGTCTCCGTCTGGAATGATCTGGTTTACACATGATACCAATCAGACTTAGTAAGAGCTCACCAGACCCGCTGAGCCGCAGACCCGGGGCTGGGACGCCTGCGGTGTCTTGCACTGTCCTGCGCTGCTGGTGCTACTGCCGTTACTGCAGACCAGAGCTGACTTAACGCTGTCAGATCCATGCTCCTCGGACACGCCCGTTTGCGGAGACCGTGGCTGTGGAGACCTCGTGTGATCCGCGGAAGCTAGAGACGGGCGGCAAAAAAAAAAACAACCCCAACAACGGGGAGCGGGCACTGGCCGGAGACCACTTGGAGCAGCAAAGCCCTGCATGTCCAGCACCGCTTGGCCATGTGCCTGATTTTATGCCATCTTCCAGAAGCATGGAGCTACTGGACTACCCCGAGCCCTCCGAGGCTTCCACGGCTGCAGGGCCTCTCCTGGCACAGTATCACAAGTCTTACAATGCCAAGTTCAGCGCTGAATGGACACCAGGAAGTAAGCATGCCGAAGGCACGGGCTGGGCATCAGGCCACGTCTCAAAGGCCGAAATCTTCAGCTTGAGCCAGTCACGCAGGTCTTTACCCGAGCACCGCGGTAAGGCGTAAGATCTCTTTTGCGGGAAGTGCACGAGCTTTTCTGAGAGCTGGCGCTTGCTCGGTCGATGTTTCTTTACTGTAGCACTGCCCGGCACGCACACCCACATCTGCGGCATGGGCCGAATTATGAATTTGAGCGTGAATTTGAGGAGTGAAACTGCTGTCATTGTCTTTAGGAGCCAAACTCCCGGGTACGAAAGTGCTCTTTATCCACGAGGCTTTGGAATGCCTCAAACAAGTCCATGTGTTCAGGACCCACCAGCCGAGGCGACGCGGTCCTCACCAAAGTCTCAAAACAGCACCCTGCACGCTGCGGCAACTTCTGGAGCTCCTTGACGTGCCGATCTACGATCTTTTGAAGCCGCTCCGCTTCCGCTTGAGCACCCCTCAAAAAAGACAGCTAAGAGCTGCCATTCGGTGCAGGAGGCGATCTCGTGATGCCGACTGCACTCTGGGGGATTGGCTTCAAGATGCGCTCTCGCTGCTTCTCGCCAATCCTGCGCACTATGTCCAGAGAGGACCAGTGAGGGGCGGGCCAGGGCCCGGGGCCTTCGAATGAGATCTTCCAGGGTGGCCGTCTCACCTCCCAAAAGGCGTAGGGCTTCCACCCGACTTCCGAGTTTTCAGGGGGCCCAAAACAAGGGCCCGGGCTCATCTCTGACAGGAGCTCTTCAAGGTAGTCCTCCCAAAAAAGGGAGAGAAAAAGGAAAGGGGACACTTCAGTTCGGAGGACTCTTCTGCTCGGATCCTGAGTGCACTTCTCCAGGTTTTCCATCTCCTCAGCACTCAAAAACCCACCTAAGGGAATTCCCGGGCCCCCACTTCTCGTGCCACTTCCCGTCCTCCTGCGCGCTCTCCTTTGCGTCTCCCAGCAGGCCCACGGCTCACACCCGGAACAGAACTCAAACGCTGTAAAAGGAAGGCTCAGCTTTCTCTCCTCCTTTGCTTCCGAAGCCCGCAGGCACGTGCAGTGATTTTTTGAGGCACGCAGGCTCTCAGGCTCAGGACAGTCTTCCTTTTGGAAGCCGTGGGCTGGGAGTTGCCCGAGTAGAAGCAAAATCCTAGTCCTAGTTCCGAGTGAGGCAGCTGACTGCGAAAATCGCAGGAGTCTGCTAAATGGAAGCCTTGATGCAGAACCGAGGATGCTGCCACTACGAAAACGAGAATGCCCAGAATCTCAATCCACTGGAAATGTGCCAAAATCGTGAGGCAAGCAGCGGCACACATCAGGGCCAGCGCGGTGACCAGAAAGATTACGCAGAAGGCACACAGCATCTGCTGCCTGCTGCTTTTCCCCTTGAGCTCCTCCAACCGGGGCGCGCCAAGGCCCTTGACAGTAGAACGGTATACGGTATGACTCAGTATGACGGAAAAACGTGGGGTGCTGTGATGCTCCTTGAAGACCAGAACTCCCATGACGACCGACAGCAGCAAGCTGGAGCTCCCAAAGATCCAGCCAACGGCCTTGGAAACCACAGGCGTACCTGAAGCGCACTCGCTGCCTGGAACAACCCTGATTTCTGAAGCAATCTCGCACCTGGCCTGTCATGAACATGAAGTATCCTAAGCCCACACAGATGCCGGCAAGGGCATCCCACATCAGCGCCTGTGCACATCGGAGGGGCAAGGACAAGCTTGATACCGGAAGGATCATGGAAGTGGCTCGCGAGCCTTTCGATACTGCTTGAAGTAACCTTGCTTCAGACTGCTCGACTCGCACGGCAATGCAGAGCAATCTTCACAGTCAATGCAGCACCAGAACTGCCACGCAGTGACCTTTCCAGATTGCGCATGGCATCTGCCAAGGTGATCGACCTCTCCGCCCTTCACTTCCAAGGGCTATCCAATAGAAGGCAGACACCTGACGCGAAATGCGAAAAAGCTTGGAGTCTGGGCCTTGGACTTGGAGTCTAGCCAGAATCTGCCGGGGCCCCTCGCCAGCGGGAAAATCGCAACCAGCTGTCCCATCCTCGTCTCAGACTCGGGTCAAAGCTGCCTTGGTCCACCGAAATCTTGCCGAGCGTCATGAAGGAAAACAGCTGGCTGAAGGGATGCAGCTGCCCTTCTGTTGCAGCGGCAGTAGTGATTGGCGACATGCTGCCCTTGGAAGTCAAACAGCAGCGCCGTGCAACATCTTCCCCACACTTGGCGCCAATTCTTCGGCCAAGACTCGCAACCCAAACCTGGGACATCAGTGTCAGAAGCGCTGAACCCTAGCTTTCTCCAAGAGAGTCGTCTTGCGGCGAAGGAACCACCTGCAATGGGCAGGAGGAACACATACCAGCCGTGGCCGCCGTGGCCCTGCGATGGTTGAGATGCCACAATCTTCACCTTGAGCTTTATCGGGGCACGTCCATTCCAACTTGCAATCTCCGCACAGGGACATCTGTGACAGTCCACCTCTTCCACGGCCACTGGCGATGTCTTGTCCGAGGACTGCGAGCATGAATCATGCCATCTGATCACGCATGCTACATAAGCCAAAGTTCGGGTCACTATCGTCAGCATGCTCCAAACCTCGGCTTTGGATTTGTGGACGTCGTCCTCGGACGCTCCTGGCAAACGGAAGTCAACATCAGGAACTCCCAGAGAAGGCGCTCTGCGGCTAGAGCCTTCAGAGTTCTCAGAGCTCAGAAAGCCTTGGCCTGCAGATTTCCTTGGCTCAGCCTGCGAAGCGGCATTACCTCGGCCGGGCTCCAGCGCAAGAACCAGAGACATCGAGCTCGGGAGTTTCAGTTCCAGACCTTGAAGTCCAAGCGGCACAGCATTCCGAGCAGGCAAGCGCCCAGCCCGGGGAAGAGTAGGTGGGGATCCTTGACGACTCACTGAACATGAAAAGTAAAACCTTCCTGGTTTGAAGACTCAGGATCTGTTTGGGGGGGTTCTCAAACGAGACTGTGCCTTCATCGCTTCTTGGTCCATTTCCGACGTCAGAACAGATGCACTCCTAGGCACGGCCTTGGGCTCGATCGCATAAGTCAGAGCTGTTCCATAAGTCAGTGCCAATCCAAAGCCTCAGGGTGCAAGAAAAGACTCACCTTTCCTCCGGAAGTGAATTTCGAGGCCTTTTTTTCAGCTTCAAGATGCTGAAGCCAGGGAGTGTGTTCGCGAGCTCAGAATATGAAACCACTTCCCGAGATACTCGCAAATCCCAGCTGTGCAGCCAAAGGCACCGATGGGACACGCCACGGCCAGGCCTAGCCTCAGGCGCAGGCGGGAGAACGGTTTCAGCATCTCTCTTCCTTTTTTTGCTTCGCCGGGACGACTGAAAGGGTATGCTTCAACACAGGTGCGCATTTCATCCACTGAGAAGGCTGAAGTGTTGTAAAGCAATCCACTTCAACACAGGTGTCTGCATCCACTGAAAAGGATATTCCCGCATGACGGTGCCAGTCCCAGCAGCACATCTATGGCCTTGGCCATAATGAAATCTCCACTGCAAAGCGAAACGCCAGCAATCATAGCAGTGAGAACGGCAAAGGACTTCCTCGGTGCGAAGCGCCCTTCCAGCCTATGCCTACCTGCCGCTCGGCAGGCGGGTGGTAAGTAGCTAGGCATGTAGTCACAGCAGTCCGGCCTGTCCATAAGCTGGTACTCTAGGACTCTAGGTAGGCAGATAATCGGAGGACGGGGAGCTAGAAGGAACGACATCTGGACGCCTGGAGAGATACATGTCCTGATTTTGCAGTCCCGATTTTTGGGTTTCGAAACTGTGCTACTTGGTGATAAGAGCAAGCATCTGGCAAACCTGGTGGCAGTGTCACGCATCAATCAGTTGCTCACATGAGCAAGTGGTCGACGGCTGAAGACAAACAGGGGCAGCTGGTGCCGAACTACACATGAAACACTAACACATAGACGTCATTCAGCCAATTACATGTTTGCAGCGAAACCCAGGCCCGTTTCATCTAGAATGCAAGCGAGCTTCTCCGAGATGTCCTTCCGTAACGTTTGTGTAAACTGCTCGGTGTCCTGTCAAGCTGTCCACAACGGCCCTCCTCTCACATCCCCAGCCTGCCAAGCTTGGTTACAACGACGGCATCGTGTAGAAATCAGTGGCAAGCAAGACGAGCAAGCAATACCAGACTAGAACTTGAAAGTGCTCTATTCCGAAGCTCAATAATTATCCCGCTGTCACCGTAGCAGGAATGCTGAAGCATTGGTGTCAGGTGAACTGAGGGAGGCACAAAGTGTTTGGCATCCACCGGATTTGCCATGCCAAACGTAAAGCAAATGCAAAGAGTTATCAGGACTTGGGCAAAGACATACCTTGGTTTCAGATGAAAACGTTATGTTCCTTGGGCTAGAAGATCGCATGTAGCAAGATGGAGAGCATGCTGGCGGAGAGCACCAAAACGTAGATGCGCTATGACATTCAAAAACCTCCCAGTTGTGACAAGGTGCGTCAAGCCAAAGTTCACCGTATCGGAACCTCCCTTTTTCCGGAGGGACGGCCAGATGCCAAAACAGAACCTGAAGCAAGCGCTGGCTGTGAGCAAGGCGTGCATCCAAAAAAAGCACCGGTCCGCGCTGGATCCGGAGTGCGTTGGCCTTCATCGGCAGATCCGTCACAGGGAGGAAGAGATGGGCTTCATGGCCATGAACAAGAGCTGTTGACGGGCCCATGCCGCAAGCCATCCAACACAAGAAAGCCCCCTTCCATGCGCCGATGCCACCACGAGAACCCCTGGCTCCACCCCATCCCATCCCCGAAGCCCAAGACGACTAGGAGCACGTGTTGTGGCAAAAAATCAAAGGATCTCTTATATCTCTTGGTGCTGCTCCCTCGGTTTGCCTCCGTCAGCCGGCAGAAGAAAAGGAGGGACTCCCAGTGAGCCAAGCGGCCACATCACCAACATCATCGGAAGAGCCACATCGCTGCTCTCCGGGGCAAACATGTTCAAGCAGCCAGCGAGCTCTGCCTGGTTTAGGGCAAAGAGAGCTTCAACCAGAAAGCTCTTTGTCGCTCAAGCACATCTCAAGGCGGATAAGTTACGGGAAAACCAGATGTTGCAGCGAGCTGGTCAGATCCATCAGAATGAAGTTGTTAACGACATTGACATCCAGTAGTTAGTGAAGTAGGGTTTCGGGGGCTATGTAGAGGAAAAGACTGATTGGGATTCGGATGAATGTGATGCGTCGTCAACCCATGAGTCGGTATGTTGTTGATCCTAACGGCTGCAGGCTTCGGTGTGGCAAACAGCCATCCTGAACAATGCACGCACAACGTCGCCCTTGTTTTGACTGCGATGCTCCGCAGTAGGGTGACCTGGTCTTTGATTCGCTTGGAAACTTGCGCAGCAGAGGCTGCAAAGACTGAGGTGGCCGATGCAGACCATGGGGCACTCTCAGTCCTTCTTCCATCTGCGGCAACAACGGCGGAGGTTGAACTTCAGCCGGGCTGATGCCACCGCCGGTTCAGTCCATGACCCCTGACACCAAGTGGTTGCGGAAACAAGGAGCCCGGTCGCTGGGCTTGAGTTTCAACTGTAAACAATGCAAGAATGCTTAAAGCGCCTGACAGGCCTTCTCTTCCTGTGACAAGAGCCTGAGCTGCGCGGCAAAGCTGCACGTGACCCTCGTCACAAAAATCTTGCAACAGCAACCCCTGTCACCCTGAAAAGTCAAAAAACATAAGAAGACAACACAACACACAAAGCAAGAAGAGAATATTGTTGGAAGCCCTCATTTTGATAGGCGTCCTGTGTAGTGTACATGTCAGTTTAAGTCTCCGGGATCTGTCATGTCAAGAGATTGCAAGCATGAGGAAAGCCTAGATCGGACATTGCTGCTCCTGCACTGCAAGGCCGCTGTCAACTCCGGCGGCTGGCCGAGCTCTGCTGGCTGTTCCCCCGCTGGCGGACCACTCTTCGTGCTGTGTCATTGCATGTCGCCCCTGTTCTGCAGTCCGGCAGCTTGCTTTTCCACACATCCTTCGCCTTTTGTCTATCCTCAGCAGGCCACCAAAAGGGAATGCTACACGCCTTTCTGCGTCTGCTGACTCTGCTGCGTAGAAGTCTTCTTAAGAAACGGGCTGTCTTCTGGAGCTCCGACGCTTCTTTCAGCGCCGAGCGAAGCTGCCGGTCTCCGGGGATCAAACCGTCTGCCTCGTGGCGAAATAGAAGGCTTGGGCTCAGGAAAATCGCTCCGATGGGCCTGCTTCAAGGCTTCAACGGCATCCTCGGCGAATCCGCGCTGAAGGTTTGCGAAGCCTGCCATCTAATCGCCACGACCACGAAGCACTGCTCGTTTCCAGATTCAACCCGGCCTTTTCGGTACAGGAACTTCCCTTTGGAATCATTGTCCGTGAGTGCAGCCTTCTCCATGTGCCGCAGACCAATGTCAGCGGCCTTCTTGGTATTCACCCAATCCTTCTCTTTGAGATACGCTCCGCAGATGTTGCTGATGACTTTCAGCTTCCTGCGGCTCTCGGAAGACCTAGCCAAACTTCACACCGGTAACACCTCGAAGCATGAGACATCATGACACTGTGTCACTATGTCCTTGTGTTCAGGTCAAGCTGATGATGATCCATCAAGTTCCACTGCTGCCCAATGTCGAAGTCCAGGTGCCACACGGCTCCGTAATACCGCTGCCGCGCGGTGGCAAAATCTCCAGTCTTGAAAAGCTGGTTGCCCTCTTCTCGAAGCTTGTCCGCCTCTTCGAGCCCTTGCATCAACGGGCGTCAATTCTGACACTCAGGCAAAGCTTGCAGGACAGCAGATAGGGCTAAGGGTCACTGCCGCGGAGCTGAATTCGAAGACATCGGATCGAGCATGCTCGTTATCCTTGTTCCAGGCTATTACAGCCTGCTCTTCTTCTTCGGAGCAGAAGCATTTCAGCAGCGACTCGTTGTCGAAATCCATCAGGTGCAGACCCTAATCCGAATATCTACGGCTGGATGTAAGCAGAAAGCTTGGTTTTGAGGCCAGGTTCGGGCACGTGCCTACACACTACGTGGACATGAATGCCATGATCGGTTTGTTGCGATCACTACTTTCGTACAGCTGTACCCCGTTTCTGCATAGACGGGAGGCTGTGGAAATGTTGGCAATCACGTCTGCAGCGCACATGTCTGCAGCACCCCTCTGCTCTGGCACACAACTCAAAAGTCTCACGACATCGCAGCCAGACGTTTTAAGACTTCATTGCGTGAAACGAGAAGATGCTCGATGTTCTTTGCATGAAGCATGACATGTGCCAGCCAATCCGGCCGGCTCACCACGCGAGACATCATCCTGGTCTGCTTTCGACCCTGACCCAACCTTGGATGTGCCAGCTTTGCCCTGCTTTTCAACATGAACCCGAGAAGCCAAGAATGCAAGCTAGCCCCCCCCCCCTCCCCAACACCCCGCACAGGTCCGAAACAGGGCCTGGCAGCAAGCCTGGACTGTCGACTCGTGTGGCCGAGTAGCGGCTAAGCCCGAAGGCAGACGGATCTCGGTCTCCCAGCATGTCCTAGTCAGCGCAATCAGGACGGCTACATGGAGTTGCTCGTGCTGTACGGCGCAAAAGCGCACCAAGACATGAGCACCTGTGGCTTGCCCGCCGTGACGCGGATCAGGAGCAGCAAACTTCGATACTCAAGTCATGCACCCGTCCTCAATAGCTTGGCGACGCTCGAGATCGAAGAGCTCCGAATCCCAACCTGGAGACTCAGAGACATGTCTTTCAAAGCGGTCAACACGGGAAATAAGCCGGGTGTTCGCTGCACTTCTTGCTGCATCCAGACTGGGTCATGGTCCAAACCTGCGAGCATTGCCCCAAGCTCCGTCAGAAAGAAGCGAAAAGGCAAAGAGCGTGGTGCTACATGGCCTGTAGCAGAATCGTAGTCAGGATGGTATCGCCTGCGACGAGATCAACAGTCAAGAGCGACTCGCAAAAAGAAGCACGACAAAACGCGCCTTAATCGTGGATGTTGCGAGAGAGGCATCTCCGATCTCTCAGGAATGCCAAAGACGAAGTCCTCTGGCGCCTTGGTGGCCTCAGTCTTGAGATTTCAATCAATACCTCGCAGCCGAAGTGAGCACGGACCTCCTCGACTTCAGCTAGCAAGACATCCTCCTCTCCAAACCTGCCAGGGGACGGAGACACCCAGGCGGCCAGACAAAGCTCCAAGAGCGCAGCCGCAAGCTGCCTGTAGGTCGTCCCCTTGCACAAGGCATGCAGTCCCCAAATGGTGTCCTCACCGAGCGGAGGGGATGCGCGCGGAGAGCAGCAAAAGAAAGCGAGAAGAGAACTGCTCCTGCCGAGCCAGCAGCTGCGTCTGGGCCCAGAGCTCATGCCTGGGGGCGGAAGCAGGAAGGCCCTGTCGAGGCTCTGGAAGCCAACTTGGGGACCGCCTCAGCGCCTCCAGCAGCACCGTGGGATGGAGCCTGGGCCGAACATCTGCTTGACAAGCGCCGCTTGTTTTGTAAGTACGAACGGGCACTAAACAACAACAGACTCCGATGCGTTAGTTGAGGTGTGAATGCAACACAAGCCATGATGTTGACGACCGTAGTTGCGATGTCGCTTTGGCTGTCAGTGAAGCCCTCATTCAAGTAAACTTGAGACCCGCGGGGAGGTGACGAAAGCTCTAGGTTGGAGGGTGTAGCTCGAAGTGCAGGCGCGACGAGGATTTGCTTTTGCAGCCGGGCCAGCACGCCCACTGGAACCGAAAAGCGCGGCACGGCAAAGAACCATTGTCAGCGCGACTCAAGACCGCACACACAAGAAGC